TAATTCAGAAACGATTTAAGTTTAAAATTGAATCGATATTTTTACTTTCATGATAAATTTTATGCACTTGGTGATCCCACACTACGTCTTTACTTTAGGCTTATTATACCAGCACTCACTATACTTTTAAGGTTTCATGGTTCCCTTGCACCCCCGTCACTAAAATCGTAATGAACAGACAGTAATCGAACTATTCTATCTGTATAAATTCATTTTGATTTTTATAACTCCTCCTATTTCGAGAAACCAATCGTGACGTGACACACACTAGCTTTTATATGGGTTAGATTGTACATTTAAGAATTAACTTTACGCTTCATAGGCTCTGCTGTATTATATCAAGTGTGGGCCTTAAAATTTACATTAAATAGTGCTTAGTCTTTGATGGGTTTTTTTTCTAGATGTTGATGATGTCATATTTCTCTCCTGCATCTTTTAAATTTGTGTGCAAAAAATATTATTTTTATTTCTTTTCGCCAATTTGGAATTATATATACATGATAACTGTCAAAATCATCACATTTAGATTTTTAAAAATCTCTGTGTGCCCAGAATATTTCAATTTAACTTAGTATGACAGTTTGGAAATACCCAGTGAAGTTTTTCTATGAAACGACCTAGAAATTATAATACGACTTGTATATGTCAGTATAATACAAGATTCATAAGTTAAAGATAGCGATTGTTATAAACGAAGTCAACTTTGACATTTTTATTATAAAAAAAATCACACACCTAGTTCTAATTTGTAAGAATTTAAATAAAATTGATAACATTGCAGTTCACCAAATTGGTGGTATAAAGAACGTCTCGACCATTGGTATGTTTGTCTTATCCCAGTTGGCCTGAAGAGTCTTGGTATTATACGAAAGGCCTCGTCGGCACCGTATATAATAGATATAGAAATTATTCTTTACTTTCACTCATGATTTCTTATAATATTCACAATAAACATGAGTGTAACGAAACTTGTGGGTTATGAATAATTTATATTGTATTATAATCTTCATGCATTTATTTTAGCTGTTAACAATCAAGTGTATTCTATGTGAAACATGAACGTTAGTCAATGTGCAGGAGATGTCATAACTCTTCTTAAACAATGGGTGCAAATATATTACGAGTAAAACACACAAAAACCGATGTTTTTGATACAATGAAAAGTAAAATTTTTGTTATTAGTTGGAGACGACCTTTCATTGTTTCAAAAAAGAAGTTAACTTGCAGATATAGTTGATATAAGCGATTTCAGATCATTACTACCTACACTTCAGCCACTAAGCATGTTCAGGCCCAAATCACGCAGGCTATTCATAATAACTGTATACGGACCGTAAATTGGCAAAACGTTTGTTTGTTTGAAGGGAAGCACAAAGCTACACAAAGGGTTATCTGTGCTCTGCCCACCACGGGTATCGAAACCCGGTTTTTAGCTTTGTAAGTCCGCAGACATACCGCTGTGCCACTGTGCAAAAAAGAGTGACTGATAAATTGCGCGTAATTCGTTCTCACTGGATTCTCTTAAATATAAACACAGATAGAAGGATTTATGTCGATCCTGACAGTTTGTAAAATAATTGAATCGGCAGTAAGTTATATTGATATTAGTAGGTCTTTGTGTAACATAATTCATAAATTACATACATGTAATTATGGGAGATTCATTAATATAACAAGTATAATAAAAAAATCAAATTTTATCAAGACAAATGGGGATTGATATATACGTATTCTGGCTAGCTATAGTAATATTGAAAGTTTTAATGCTAGAAAAAGTATTGAAACAAGAAAATCAAAACTATAAAAACTGAGTTACTTAAAATTTAAAAAAATCACTGTAATTATGTTAGTCTGAGCCAAAGTAGAGAACGTTTTTTAAATATTAAGTAACTCAGTTTGTAGTACTGACTTTATTGTTTCAATACTAGTTGTAGCATTAAAACTTTTTATATTACTATAGCTAGCTAGGTTAAATTTTTTTATTATACTTGTTTGTTTCCATCTTATGATTTATATTTTTGTGCTCCAGCAATACCAAGTGTGAGGCGCGCGCGTATACCCGATTCGATTTTATTACTCATCAGGATCTCTACCAACCTACCCTCAAATCTAAATATATGCTCAAAGTAGCCATCGTTTGTTATATATATATATTAGTATTCTTTTCGATACAAGAGGGGAATCATTGGGACGCCAGATGGAAGAGTTCTGCGAAAGAATTAGAGCGATAAGGTTCGTCATTTTTTCTGAACTTAAATGAAAATTCGCTGAAATACTGAAATTCTGATTGATTCCATAAACACGTATATAGCGATTTAGACGGCTTTATAAATACAATAAGCTTTAATTTTGCTCATCCATTACTGTGAAATAGTCATTGTTAATAATCAGACATTTTAAAGATGGTTTTAAATGGGCGATTTTTATGCCCGCCATATTGTTTCATCATTATCCTTAGTATTAAGTACTACCGTACTTAATGATATACAGAAAAAATAATAATAATAACATGCAAAATTAAAAATGTAAAATGTTTCAAATGTAGATATAAGAATATTTTTTTTTATTCATTTTTTTTTCAGAGCTTCTAAAAGACGAAGAATGCATGCAAAATTGGACACCATGATATTTCCAGAAATCATGGTGGGTCAGCCCAAACCTGTAAGTTTTCCCTTGTAAACAAATATTTCAGACAGTACGATTTTTAAAATACTTACTTGATAAAATGTTATAGATTAAGTTTTTGTATTATTAGAAATGAATTATTTTGGCTTATATGAAGCACAAGATGGAGTACCCGTCCGTTGTACGAATGAAGTAAAAACTCGTTTGTAACAAAGTATAGGAAATTGTGCTACTATTTTTTCTTGATATAATAAACATTAAAAGTGCAATAAAAATACATAAATGTACCAATACTGAAAAGAAAGACGTACTGTTTTCAAGAATTCTATCAACATGAATTTTTGTGAAATTGTAGATCACAGCAGAGAGTTATATAACTGATGAAATAAACGCCGAGGAGCTAAGAGGTAACGTATTCCTTTTTTGTTTACTGTTTTTCAAACAAATTAACAGTTTGAGTTGTACTTTGTATTTTAGTAACATTTTAGAATTTTATACTAAGCTTTTTGGTGTGAGCCAAATCGCCGAAACAAAACTTGAAAAAGATCTTTTTTTTGCATAAAATAAGCCTTGAAAATAAGGAGTCGAAATGTGGAACTGTTACTTTGTAATCTCATCGAACGTTCGAAAACACATTTTGATGTTGAACAAGAATATAATATATTGATATTGAAACCAAATGATTTATTGTTTTAAAGAAAAGATCAGAAACATTTAAATAGAAGTTTTTTTTTAAATATCTAAAATACACTTCATTGGCAATACAGTTTCTTTTTTTTAAATACTGTTGTTTTTAACGGAAAGCTACACGATGGGCTGTCTGCATTTTGTTCAGCGCTAGCATGGAAATCCGATTTTTAACGTTATAAGAAGAACAAAATATCTGATTATTTTTTCATCTGTTAAGGTGTTACAGTGTGTCAAGGTGTTGTTAAAGGACCAGCTCGAGTTGTTTTACAGCTAGAAGAGGCTCATTCCCTGCAGGTTAGTCGATTGTAAATATAACAGAAATACAATGCTTTGATACTATCTAACAGGGTTAATTTAATCAGAACCTGGTCTCTCTATATATAATTGATGTGTGTATTCCAATTATTTCTTTCTTCATACTATTTTTCTTTTGAGCAGCCACTTTCCCACATCTGGCTGCAAACAGCGGAAGGTGGTAAAGATGTGGGACGTTGTGGGCTAGAGCAACCACATCTGCTCTTTCTCTCTCTTTTTGTTGTTAATTATTAATAATGTTGTGCCTGCGAAACTGAGGTTAAACTGGACAGACGGTGTACCCCAACACAATTTTGGTCTTACTTCAATAATACCTCAAAAACCAGGGTACATTGCATAACTACCACATCATGGTGTGTGACATGTTTCATTTTTTTTTCGTGTTCTACATAATATTACAATTAATTCTTTTTAATCTAAAGTTTGGATATGCTGTGTAAAATTCACGCTATTCTTTCTTATGATATAATCTTTTTCCCCTTTTTTAAAATTATATATATAAAACTGCAAATTTGGTATTCAGATTTCGCCAGTAGATAGGATCACCATATAGAGAAAATTTATAAATAATCCCGTTTTTACTACAACTGAAACTGACTGCGCATAAGATGAGAATCATTTTCGAATCAGAGAAGTTAACAAAAAAATAAAAACAATATCTGATGCAATATTTTTAAATGGGACTCTGGAGGAGTAATTATTTTAACATTAAACATCATTTCCATTGATATTTGATTGTTGTTAAGCACAAAGTTAAACAATGGGCAATCTGTACTCTGTCCGCCATAGGTGTCGAAACCCGAATTTTAGCATTAAAATTCCTCAGACTTAACAGTGAGCCACAAGGGGGCTGACGTTTAGATTATTTTTTTATTATTATTTGCTTATATGTTGTTAAATGTAAAACTATACAGTGGCCTGTTTGTGTTCTGTCCACCGTAGGTATCAAAATCCGATTTTTAACGTTATAATTCCTCAGAGTTATTGTTCACACACCAGGGGATTGATATTTAGGCTTTCTTTAAAGACTGGATCATTTTGAATTTACTTTTGTTTTAATTTTAAAAAATGTTTATGAGAATTTTCATGAGCATTTCAGTATTGTTTCTATATTTGAAATACATTGTACCAAATGTTTTATGTAAGCATGATAATGGAAACTGTTTCTGAACCATGAGTTTGTTGTATTTGTCTGTCTTGAACAAGTTAATACAGTTGTGTTTTTGAAAAATAACACAAGAAAAATAGGTTTGATCAAGGAAACGTAGCTATTAAATAGTTGAAATTACCATGTTCGTAAGTATGAAGATAAAATCTGTATGTGTCTGTCTGTCTGTCTGTGTTTCCGCGCGCGTATCTCAAAATCTAATTGACAGATGTGTACGAAAATTTTCACAAGATGGAAAGTCAATATGGAACAGTCCTCCCCGTATTTGGTCCGGAATCCGGATTTGGATCACTTTGAAACATTTTTTATAATGGGGAGATAGGGCGTTTTTGTAGTTTTGGGGTTAATAACTCTGTAAAGTGTGATCGGATTTGTACCAAATTTCATGGGCACGTTAATGTTGAGACTCCTCATCACACTCCAAAAAAAAATGATCCGAATCATTGATCATTCTGGATCTGAGAAGAACTTTTGTGTTTTCGAAGGTGAAATTTGACGTTATCCAATATAAATGCACAGCGGGGCGAGGGTATGGAATATCTCTGATTTCTCCTCTTGTTTTTGTTTTTTTCAGGCAGGTGACATTCTCGTTACCTTCTCCACTGATGTTGGATGGTCCCCTTACTTTCCACTGCTGAGCGGTATCGTAACTGAGATAGGAGGCTTAATTTCTCATGGTAAGTCACACGTGACAGTCAATCTCGTGACAACACGGAATTATCTTCTTTTCAAGTACTGAACGCCAATATGCTGAGTTCTTGAATTTTAACTCAAAACTAGAAATTATTCTTAATTATTGAAATAATTCAGGGAAGTTTGGACAGTTCTTGTTGTTTTAGCGCAAAGCTACACAATGAGCTATCCACCGCAGGGTATCAAACTCCGAATTTTAGCACTGTAAACTTACCAATGACCCACCAGTGGACATTTTAGATAGACAGAGTAAAGTGGGGAATGATTTCTTTACTTACTTAAATTATACAATAATAGTCTGGTCAACATAGTCATAAATTTGTTTATTTTTGAATTTCTTGCAAATTTATTCGAAGGCTATCTACGCTAGTTGTCCCCAATTTTGAAGTGACAGATTAGAGAGAAGGAAGCTAGCCATCACCACCAACTCTTGGGCTACTCTTTAACAAGAAATAGTGGGATTGACTGTAACATTATAACGCCTCATCATCTCAAAGGGTGAACATGAGCTAGAAAGGAATTCGAACCCGCGACCCTCAGATTGCAATTTGAGTGACCTAACCACCAGGCCTTAAGTTGGTATACATGAATAACTATATAAATTCAACTTGCTTTGTATATCTAGATTTTTGTACACCAGAGGGTATCACTACACTAAAACTACTCGGCCTACTTGAGTAAATCGTAATTCACCAACAGAGACAGAAACTAGGTCAATTTTCTATCAATCTAGATCTGTTAGTTCATGCATAGCATTTAAAACAGATATATTTGACAAACGAAGAGACTTAAGATATGTTTGTTTTATGCGAACATGATTATCAACCAGGAAAAAAAAAGCAATGACGAAACATTAAATAACTTCGATGATGTTTTTAATGTATTGCACACTGCTTTATTTAATAGTTTCGAAAACATTACTAATTGTTATATGAAAGTTTTTAGTAGCCACATCACTGAATATTAGACTAGATCATTATTCTATTATTCTATATAGTTTTATTATGTCAAATCCAGTTGATTTTTATAGTTACAATAAGAGTTTCTGAAAATTTTTAGTAGCCACATCATTGAATATTAGGCTAGATCATTATTCTATTATTCTATATAGTTTTATTATGTCAAATTTAGTTGATTTTTATAGATACAACAAGAGTTTCTGAAAGCTCTTAGTAGCCACATCATTGAATATTTGACTAGATCATTATTCTATATAGTTTTATTATATCAAATCCAGTTTTTGAAAGCGTTTAAGATTTTTTTCCGGTGCATACAGAAAGTTAGGTCTTCAGTGGTCCTTATATGCTTGTAAGCGTGTGATGTGTTCCAAAATAGGTCGCATTTCATCCAATTCTTTATTGGCCGTATAGAGTAAACACACTGAGAAAACCGAATGAGGTTTTTGTTCTTGCTCTTGTTGTTCTAACCTTTGATGAACGTTCTCATGTTTGAGATTGGATCCCTTTTTCTATGTTTGAAAATATAACTAACATCCAGGATGTTTCCGAATGTTATTTTCGATCATGTTCATCCTAAAAATTGTTTTATTTTCACCTTCCAGAACTATATTTTAACAATACATTATGCTTGTTTTGTCCAAAATTGTTCGAAAAATACTGGACACTGTCTTCATGCTTTGACCAGAACAATTATCGGGTTTCACTTCTATTTAACATGAACTTGAACGTCGCACTCACCAATGTAATTCGTACTCATCGATGAGTGAACTAAACTCCAATAATAAAACCTTCCGACATCTTTTGGTTTCGATATCCCTTGCCGAGTCTTACATGAGATCCCAATAAAATTAGTAGGCAGTGTAAGATATACGACTAATATTTCTGACTTTATTCCTCTGTATTACTATTTCATGATTACCGTATTTTCCCCGAAAGGGGGCCGAAGACCACCTGGAAGGGTCTCCTATTTTAACCATTTACACCACGATACAGCAGTGTGTTGTCTGTCAGTTAGTCAGTCAGTAGACACTTAAATCATGTCACTCAAGGGACACTTAACGTTGCAATTTGTACTGTCGTGACGTCAGTAAAACGTGCACATGCCATGAATCACGAGAAGAATCATGCACTCTGGAGGCTACAGAACAGCATGTCATGTGAACTAATATCAAACGCAAGAACTAAAAATATTTGTTATTCTTAGTTTTTATTTTCTTTACTCTTGGAACAGAACACTTTCAGAGACCATGCGGAAGTACATCTAGTTCATATGTGTTTTTGGTAGAAATCACATTTTTATTTTTGTTCGTTATTATTCCAGGAGCTGTAGTAGCAAGAGAGTATGGTTTACCTTCAATTGTTGGTGTGCGTGGAGCGACTGCTGTGCTCAAGTCAGGTAAGTAATTTTCTAAAAGTTGTAGTGTAATTTCAGCCGTTCATGTGTTGGTTCTCCAGATGTAGTCGTACATTTGTAATCAATCTGGAGTTTAATTTCTATTAATGCATAGTGAACAGAAAAAAATATATAAATAAATTCTGTCTCGACCTTGTTTAACCACAAAATAACATCTTGGGAGCTAGTCATCTTACACATTAACACTTGTTTTCCAGCTGTGTCAAAGATTATAGATGTGTATATATATATATATATATATATATTATATTCTGTATACTTAATTTAAACTACTATA